TGAGGTAGCCAACTCATTCTCCAACAATTACAATCGAGCCACATCTTTCTTATTGAATAACTCATCAAGAGTAGTCCAAATATCACAAGCCGATTTGCAGTTCACAATATGATCAAATAGATTATGAAAAATGGATATATTCAAGATGGACTCAGCTTTTGCATTTGTTATCCTCCATTTTTTGAATGCATTAGTATTTTCCGGTGTAGGAGCACCCCTATCATTTCCACCGACACTTCCCATATGTTTTTGCCAACAAGGTAAGACTCCATACATGACCTCCATATCTTGTAGTTTGATTGGTTGAGTAACTAAATGTTAAAACCATACATCATTCCACATGAATTCATCTTAAGAAAAAATTATTCTTCTTCCTCAAGGGGAGTCAAGATACGTCACTACCACTCTTGTGGCTCTGATACCATGTAGAGAAAGACGGATTCCACAACATTGTAACAATCCGCTTCTCAATTAGTGTGACAATGTCACACTAGCCCAAGACTCACAACCAAATAGAAAGAATAATAAGAACCAATATGAAGTGGAAGAAAAACTTATCTTTCATTTAAAGATAAAAAATGGGTTACATAAAGGCATTACAATCTCAACACACAAGATTAACCTCAACACATGTGACCCAGGGGTACGCAAATGTATTATAATCTTGATACCTAAGATTAACCTTAAAACATGTGACCGAGGGGTACACAAATGTATTACAATCTTGACACCCAAGATTAACCATAAAACATGTGACCCAATTTTCTCACCACACACCTCTCTTTAAATAGAGGCACTTACAACGGTAATTACTACAATAACTCCCCACTCACAACAATAACTACTAACTTACGACAATAACTACTAACCACTTAGTACGTTCATAACTTCTTAGTACTTTCATAACCACTTAGTACTTTCATAACTACAAATGATAACATTACTCTTAATAAAATAACATAAAAACTAATATGGTTTTTAGAAAATATACTTTAGTAATTTTAACAACTGAAACACATGCGCTACGTCTAATAGCATGGAGGAGCATAGGATCAACTCGGGTCTTTCAGCAAGAGTCGATTGTCTTCTTCCTGGTTTTCAATTACATGGACATAATTAGAACACACAAAAGAGACTGAGATAGGATCTGAAAAGGGGACAAGAAAAGAATGGTAAGCGAATGAATAATCATCTGTGTATTTGAAAAAAAAGGAATATGTTCAGAAAACACAACGCAACTAGATACCAAGAGTCTTTCAGCCAAGGATCATGACATCTATATCCTTTTTGATAATCATGATAGCGCCGTGAAACAACATGTTACAGTTTTGGCCGACAACATGTCAATCTCAGTTGAGAGTAATAACATGAAACAAATGCAATCAAAGACATGAACAACAGAATAATTAGGTGGGTAAGTGGGCCAATTTTCAAAAGGTCATTGCATAGATTAAACTGAGGATGACATAATGTTGATATGATAAAGTACAATATGAATAGCTTTGGCCCAAAACACTTTGGGAACAAAAGTGTAAAGAAGAAGTGACCTTGTGGTTTCTAAAATGCTACAATTTTTAATACTTTGCAGTACCATTTTTCTCTAATATGTAAGGACTGTTTGAACATTTTTGTCAGAGAAAATTTTCAAGCATCCCACTAAAATATGAGTAAAATTGAGTGAAAATTTTATCAAGTTTAATGTAGTTATGTATAAAGAAAATCCATGTATATCGAGTGTGGTCATCACTAAAGTTTACAAAATATGGTGATTTCCCTTTAGACAGAATAAGTGTTGGCCCCCACACATCAGTATGAACAAGATCAAATGTAGAGGATGAAATAGAACTACTTCAAGTGAAAGGTCAAAGATGAGATTTTGCAACCTTTCGAGTTTCACAATTATTGATATCAATAAAGTATTTATGTGTAACACGACTAAGAGCATCACGGTAGAATAAAAACAGTAATCGAGAAGCAGATATATGACTAAGGTGTCGACACCACAAAGATGTGGCATTATCAGCAGATACAACACGCAGTGAAAGAGTTAATGAAGGTAGTCTTGGTAATATAGATCTCCGACTTTATGGCCATCGCAAAAATAATATATTATTCTCAATACCAACTGGAATTAGGAGTATCAGACTAATGGCCATTTTCAAAAAAAGGGAAATTATTGCAAATATACCTTAATTTAAGATTATTTGGAAAAAAAGCATCAAATTTTCGTTTACCTCATCTACACTATTTTTCCTTATTTTCTACTTTTTTTGGACCAAAATGACCTTCACGATACTCTTACTACTGTAATACATATCATTTTATACGGTATTTTAAACACCGTAGTAACTTCAAGTAATATTACGGTACTTGAAGTACCGTAAAACTCTAGCTAGAACCATGGAGCCAATTACGGTATTTTAAGTACCGTAAAAACTAAAACCTATCATACGACATTTTAAGTACCGTAAAAACTAACCTATCTTATATGACACTTAAAATGCCGTAAATCCTTTTCTCATTCTGTTCATCTCTAATTCTTTTTATGTTTATCTCTTCTTTCTTTCTCTAGTTCTTTTTATCTCTTCTTTCTCTCTCTACAATCTCATTTTAGTTTTCTTAGATAAATCATGTCCTCTGTTTTGCAAAGCCGAAGTCAGTGTTTGATTATTCTTTCTAAGGAAACGATGATGAGATTGTAGAGAGAGAAAAAAGAGATTAAAAAGAATTAGAGAGAGAAAGAAGAGATAAATATAATTAGAGAGAAAGAATAGATAAACATAAAAATAATTAGAGACGAAAGAGATAAACAGAATGATAAAAGGGTCTACGGCATTTTAAGTGCCGTATAACATGGGTTAGTGTTTACGGTAATTAAAATACCAGATAAGGATTAGTGTAAGTTTACGGTACTTAAAGTACCGTATAAAAGACCGTATTAAAAGTACCGTATGAAATTATCTAAGTATTACGGTACTTAAAGTACCGTATAACATGCACTAATGATTACGGTAATACGATTACCGTGAAGGTCATTTTGGTAAAACAAAATCGAAAATGAGAAAAAGGGTGTAGACCAGATAAACAAAAGTTTGGGGATTTTTTCCAATTAAGCTTAAATTAAAGTAAATTTATGATAATTTTCCAAAAAAAAAAAAAGAGAAACAAGAGAAATCTATGTAAAATTAAAATTTTAAGATATTTTTTAAATATCCCTCATGAAAGGGAATACTTATGTTAATTTCCTTGATATGGATCTTATAAAGTGAATTTTTTTTCTATAGAAAATGGGATCTCTTGTGTCCTTGATTTGGAAAAACTACACGCATATCCCATACAATTGACGTAATTTAAAATTGAACCAAAATTTTCTATTTTTACATTCATACCCATTTTTCTCATTTTTTAAAAAGACTTAATAGCCCATATTTTGGATATTCAAGATCAAAACTATATAGCTTTGGAATTTAAATTTTTTTTTATATATAATTTTTAGACTTTGAATATTCAAAATGTTTTTCAACCTGAAAATTCTTATTTCTTACAAATTTTATATTTTGAAATTTGTTAAAAAAGGAAAATTTTGGGCTAAAAAATTATTAGATATTCAAAATCTTATTTAAAAAAAAAACAATTAATGCTACATAAATTTTGGAGAATCCAAAAAATTTGAAGAATAAATTTTAGACTGAAGTCTTTGGATATTTAAAATCCCAAAATTTTAAAAGGGGGAATTTCATGCTAAAAGGATTTGGGATATTTAAATTTAAAAAATTATGAAAATTAACCAAAATTTAAAAATGTGTCATTCAGATCCAAAATATGGGTGATTTGGTTTTTTTAAAATTTGTGAAAAATTGTTAAGAATGTAAAAAAGGAAAAATATTTAAATAACATGAATCATAAAGATATTTAGAAAAATGTTGTGTGAGTCAGTGGATGCAAGCGCCTGCTGACTCACAAACATCCATCATAATGATGGATGTTATGAAAAGTTTGCACTCTATAAATGCTATCTGGATGATACACTGGAAAACACCAAAAAATTAAAATTAAAATTAATTAATTTTTTTTTTTCATATTCATAGTTACTTCGTCTAGATGATGAATCTACAAAAAAAGTAGTAAAAAACATTCATCTTTAAAACGGATTTTGGATGGGAGCCACATATATACATATGAGTTGGCTTACTCATGGAAACCCTATCCTTTTGTTTTTTTGGTAGCTCAATGGAGATGGGGTTCCCTACATGTGGTAGGAATGGAGCTTAGAATGTTATATTATAGCGACCCTCCACTCTCACCACCGAGCCTTGAGCCCATTCTAAATTATAAGAATATATACGTAATTTCCTCCCATTTTGGTATAATGCTATTTGGCCGTGGCTCATGATGATACTTTCCCATGCAATAAACGAAGGTGTGATTTGTATAATGCGTCAACCTTAAGCAATCCAATTAATGATTTACCTTTTTTTTAGTTCTAATAGGTTTTATGATGAACTCTTTGACAGCTAAATACCCACTGACTTACCTATTTATTTTAACAAAAACAATCAAATTAAGACACATCTCTGAAGCTCATCAATCGATGTAATTCCATTCTTAAAAATTTTAGCAATTACCTAAAAAATTAATTCACATCTTGGAAAATTTAAAATTAGAAAAAACAATATAAATTGAGTAGATCTATAAACATATGAAAACATTAAGATATAAATTGAGTAGATTTATAAACATATAAAACATTAAGAATAAAACAATGTATAATAAAATATATTATTTTGAATAATCTTTTTAGCAGCGCATTTTGAGGTTGAGAAGATGAACTAAAATGGTGCTTACTATTGAAACAACATTTTTCGATGGACTTTTGATGGGTTTTTTTATTTTTATTTTTTATTTTCAAGTTAGAGTGGCAAGTCTGCAATCTTGTATAAAATTTTTCCATTAAAATAAAAACCAATTAAAAAAGAACCAATTTTTCTTAGCATGCGCAGGCGGCGCCAAAAGAGGGATTGCTCAAGAAAAGATGCCGCAGGCTATGAACGAAGAGTGAAAGCTCACCGTTATTAGAGAGAGAGTGTTCGCAGTAGAGAGAGAAAGGAACACCTTTTAGACTCAGAGAGCGAATAGAGTGGGACTGAGTAGAGAGAGAGTCTTCGTTTCTTCCTCTCTCCTTCTTCTCGCTCCTGGGAATGAGAGGAAGGTTCTTTTTCAGCAAAATTTGAAAAGGCTCGCCATGTTTTCAATATAGGCGCCACAGGTTTGTTTCACCAAATCTCTGCTCTTCCTTCAAACCCACAAGGCAATTTATCTCTCTAAGGAGCGGCAATAGCTTATGTTTTCTGCTTTCTCGCTCTACAACTCCTTTCCCTTCTTTATGCTCTTCTGAATCTTCCTTCAGCTTTCTGGGTTTTCCTTCTCCCGGCTTTCGAATTTTGGGGTATTTTGAAGAAGAGGGGTATGGGGACCTGCGTCACTTGGATTCCGGAGGACGATCTTCTCTTAAAGAATGCCGTTGAGGTAACCCCATAGCTTCAATTCATCACTTCTTATCGAATTTTTGAGGAATCTTTCGCTTATAACCCGGAAAAAAGTCTTCACTCTAGAATTTGGTTTGGTATGAATTATAAGCTTCTTTTTTTCGGATTATAAGCTTCTTCATCACCTTTACTAGCTTCATATGGACTATAATTTTGCTATTCTGTTGTTTTAACATTTTGGTTCTGTTTTATGCGTGTCCAAGTTTGGGCTCTATGAAATTGAATAATCTCTAACTATTCAAGAAATGTGAACATTAGGCTAGTGAGAAAAAAATGTTTTTTATTTTTGAATGTTAAACAGAGAAACAAATGTCTTACAAAGCAAATTTTGTCAAGATATTTAGTTTGAGGTGGAATGTCTTTGGGTGATAAAATGGATTTATGTGGCGATACAGATACTAATAGGAAACCAGTAGGATGTTTATTTTAATGGTGGGCAATTGGATGGGGGACTCTGTGGTATTACTAGCGCCATGTAAAAAGTAGTGGATACGTACTAGAGGCAATCAGTACTGGTTCTTTTGAAGTTGGAGTGATGTTTGGTGTCCCATATATCTTGGCCCCATGACGGATCTTAAGGCTAGGCTTTAGGATTGTTTTCTCTGGAGCAGGGTTTGGGTTATGTGTCCTCTATGATTTTGGAGGATCCTTAGGCACCAAGAGAGTGTCATGTCGAATGGTTTGTTTGGTTTCTTAGCAGGTTTTCATTCTGAGAGGCAATATACAAATTGTTTTTGGGAATCGCATTGCTCAGGGTTGTCCTTGGTCATGGAGTTCTTTTAATTTCTACAATGTGGGGGCTCTTCATCTCATATTGGACAATTGGTCTGAGTCTCGTGACCTCTTCAGTGGTTCCAACTTTTGATTATTGATGTGATTGACACAATCCTGTCTGGTTATCTTCAGCATCGCATTCTTCATTTTTTAACTATTGTGTTATGGATGCTTAGATGACCATTTCTTAGCTTCCATATACTCTTAGTTCAAGAGAAATTGGGCCTTCTTTCTAGATCTATCTGATATTCCTTGGAAAATACCAATGATGGGGACAATTCTATTGCATAATCTGTGGTCCGAACCTTTTCTTGTAAAAGGAGGTATCTTGTCAGTGTTGAAAATGCCAGCAATATTTTGGGTATATGGTGGGTGATGAATAACACATTTCATGGATTTGTGAGTTCAATCACTAAGATAGTCAGAAAGATATGAATGTCTCCTCCCTTTCATGGTCTCTCCATTTTGGGAGTTTAGGGTGGAAGACCTGGATTAGGAGTTGGGGCAGGGCCTATTTTATTTGGTGATGCTATGGTATTGAAAACATAAGGCATGGTGGAGTTACCTTCCCATGAGGACCGCTAATGCTAAACTTTGTCAATGGCCCACTCTGGTGGGGTGCCTGTCTGCGGAGGATACAAGTTCTCTTTTAATGGTGTTCATTTTAACTTTCATTTTGTAGTGATAGCCCGTTTAGATGGGTTGTGAGTATTTTCTGAACACGTGTTTAGACCTTTAATTATGGAAGTCAGATTCTTGTGTACTTGATCTAGTGGGTGAGATGAGAGGGGCGATTCCTTGGAGCATGGTGCGCAGTGGAGGAGATTTTTGAGATTAGGGACTTGTTGTTTATATACTTGTCCTTAGGGATGCTTTTGTGACCCCTAAGTCTATAGCTAGAGAGGGAGTGTTTACTATCAGGAATGCATATCCAATTCCTTAACGCTTACTACACATATCGTATTTCATTCTATGCATGTGTTTATTTTCCTTCTATTTTGTGCTGCATGCAATCATGTATGCATCCTTCATTTATAGATTACTAGTACTTGTGCATAAAGAGATAGCACTGCCCCAATCCTTAGGCGATAATACCCTCGTGCTTCACCTGTATTATCATATTTTAGCCTTTTCCCAATAGCAACAAGGAAATGAGTAATTCTCAAATGCTTTGGAAAATTATTGAAGAATCTCATGAATACCTTCTCTGATGGTGATTTGCCCCCCCATAAATGAACCTTTTGAATAATATCCTCCATGAATGACATAACCTTTTCCCAATAAATTGGGGTCGGCTACACAAATCCTGATTCGCCATTTGTTCTATTAAAGGCCATAACCTTAGTGAGACCAAAAGTCCCTATTGCTTTTCGGACTACTTCCGACCACCCTTTGCCATTTTCAATCCTTCCACTTGAACTAACTCTTACTTCCTAACAGGTGCTGTACTAGGTCGGCCCTACATATGGCCAGCCCACCTAAGTCTACTCTCTCTCATCTTATTGCCTATTGGTGCCACACCTAAATTTTCTCATATGGATTAATTTCAAATTCTAGCCCTTCTTGTCTTGCCACTCATCCATCTCAACATCCTCCTCTCCGCTACACTCATTCTATGGGTATATTGTTTTTTGTCTGCCTATATTTCGCCCTCACAACTGTTCTATAGAACTTGCTCTTCACCTTCATTCGTATGCGGTGATCACATAAAATTCCAGTTGCCCATCTCCACTTTGCCCATTCAGCTCTAATTTTGTGTGCGACATCTTCCTCAATCTCTCCATTTTCCTGAATTATCAACCCAAGATATTTGAAAGTGTGGCCTTTTTTGTACTTCCTGGCTGTCAATTTTAACTGCTTCCTCGTCTCTACTTCAATTATTACTAAACGTCCATTCCATATACTCTATCTTAGTCCGGCTAATTTTAAAACCTTTGGATTCTAGATCATCCTTCCAAAGTTATAACTTTGTGTTGACACCGTTTCGGGTCTCATCGATCAAAACTATGTCATTTGCGAACAACATGCACCATGGTACCTCATCCTGTAGGAGCCTAGTTAAGTCGTCCATAACTAAGACAAAGAAGTACGAGCTCAATGTTGACCCTTGATGTAGACCTATTGTCACTGAAAACTCACTCGCCTCTCCACTAGTTGTACGTACACTAGTTAATACTCCATCGTACATATCTCTAACCAAGTCGGTGTAGTGTTTGGAAACTCTTTTCTTTTCCAACACCCGCTAAATCAGATCTCGAGGTACTCTATCATAAGCTTTCTCTAGATATAAAGTTCATAATTCCTTAGGGTTTTTCTCAATTTTAAGGAAGTGGTTTGGAGTTGTTGAATTTCTTCTTCATGGAATTAGTTCATAGCTATCTAACAACATAATTATACTTCTAATATTATTGCTTTGCTTGCTGGTTATAAATAAAGACATGCTTACTTAAAGAGTTTATATAGCCCTAGACTATACATACTATTTAAAGTTGTAGAAAGATCCCCAACCTTTTGGGGGATCAAAATCTCAAAATTTCAGGATTACAATCTCCAAAAGGTCAGAATTTCGATTGTTTTTGGAATTGACGTCCGTACAAGGGAAATCGTGGGGGACGAGATTCTAATTTTTAGGAATCGAGACTCGGCAAAAATAGAATAGAGATCCCTACATAGATGGAATCAAGATTCTTAGCTCTTTGGAATCGAGTTTCCTACTTAGTTGGAATCAACCAATATGGAATCGAGATTTTAACATCTTTGGAATCGAGGTTGAATTGAGAGGGAAACAATACATGTCTCAATGCTATTCATTGACTGACATGCCATACATGCACGTTTACATTATTTCTAAAATCTTGGAGTTACAATCTCTCCATTGGATCAATACAATACATACTTAAAGAATTAACTAGAGAACATGGACCACTACTTTGGTTTTTAGCTCGAGTATTTGATGCCTTGAAAATTTCTAAACATCACTCCTAAGAAAAAGACAAAAAGAAAGAAAAGGGGGAAGTGGTAGAATTCCAGTAAATGTGGAAACCAGTTTGTACAAGTTGTAGAATCAAGATTCATCAATTGCATAATCGAGAATCGGTAAATATCGGGAACGTAATTCTATAAATGTTGGAATCGAGATTCTAAAATTCATGGAAATGCGTTCTGTAAAGATTCCTAGCCGGAATTCGAATCGGAATCACGATCTTCAATGAGCCTATAAGAGATTCAGGTAAGTATGGGACGGTGCTCCAAACCATAGGGATCTCTCAGCATTTTACAATCCTTCACTCTTGATCCTAATCCTAATCTGGCTTCCACTTCCGATACCGACAACTAAGTTTTGAAGAATGTAATATATATTGATGGTTTACACTTTTCTTGTGTTTTCTGTTCTATAGAAAATGTCACCTTACTCCCATGTTTACCATGAGGCTGGGGTCTGGTAAGCACTGAGATCATTCCAAAATCAGAAAGCGATTAGGTCTTGTCCTTGAATTATAGTAGAGAGAAAATTATTTGAGTTTAACTCAATTACAGAAATATCATTAATAAAGTTGAACCTTATTATAGCAAATGCTAAGTGTTTTCATTGAGCAGTTATGCCTAACTTGCCTCTTCTTGACTTTGGAGGTGATACACGTTGAGCGAGCAATGCCCATGTCCAAGGTCTTGAAATGTATTGAAAACTTATAGAACAGGAGGTAGTTAATATCACAAAATAAAAGTTATTAATGCTAGGAACCTCGAATGGAGGGTGGGAGCATGAGGGATGGGGGATAGAAGCCCTGCTTTCCACATATGTGGATTGCCCATCGATGAGGTTGCCTTAAGGATATATTTAATCAATACAGTTAGATATACTTGTGCAATATGGTTAGAGTGAAAAACTAGTAAGTTCGAGGGATGGGTGCTGTGTTTCTTTCGTCCAGGTGCTGTTCCATTTTAAATGCCACAATTCGTGCAGACTGGTCTATGTTTTGAAGACTCATCTCCAGGAGTAGCAACGGCTTCCATGCATTCTGTACAACTGATGATGTGGTTGATTCTTTTCTAGATTGGGAGTTGACATATAATTATTCATTTTGGAGTATCCTTTTTTTTTTCCCCGTTTTGTTGGCTCCCGTTGTATTTTTCTACATTTTCCTCCACGTGTGATTTGTACACTTCAAGATTCTTTGTTATCTTTCAAAGTAAAACAAAAATCTTTTGTGATTTATGACTAGATTTGTAACCTGACTGTAATGAACACTAGATGTATGAGAATCTTATTCTCTTGAATGTTTTTCTGTTCTTTTTATCAGTTGTCCCTATTATTTTCATGAATTCTCCCTTTTATAGCATCCATTTTATGTACAGTTCTGCATTCGTTTGTTTCCAAATGTGCATTATGGGGACTTATATTGGGGTTTTTGTTCAATTGCTAATAAATTAATGCTCTGGCCAAAACTTCTGAGGCAATTTTCTCTTTTTTCATGTTTAGGTGAGATGTCTGATAAAATTTGAAAAATCACCGATTTTTCCCTTTATGTGGCACCAGAATGTATTTATTTAATATTTATTGAAAATAGCGTTGTACTTCTCTTCAGGTTGTTTAGCTTTCCTTAATAAAAGTGTTGCATTGTGTTTTTTGTTGGGTAGGCTGGCGCGTCCTTGGAGTCCCTTGCAAAAGGTGCAGTTCACTTCTCTCGTCGTTTTACTATTGGAGAGCTGCGGGATCGGTGGTATGCACTTCTCTATGATCCAAATATCGCAGTAGAAGCTGCTGCACGTATGGTTGAACTTGAACTCTCTCTTCCAACCCTTCCAAAATCCAACCGATTTTGCAATTCGAAAGGAAAAGAATGGGCTCTAGGGAAAAGGAAAATAGACAATGCTCGTAGCCATTATTATGCTCAGAGAAAGAGAATTCGCAATGAGAATGCTGATTCATTTGCTCAAGATGTCCCTCTTGCACCCTTTCCTAACATTGGATGCACAGAAAATGAAGTGGCTTATTGTCCAGGTCTTGTAAAAGATCCTGAAGGTTTCCCAGTAGATGGCTGCATGAGTTCTCCTATTGCAAATCATTTTCAGCTTCCTGATGCTGGACTTGATTTCGTGAATCGAGATTTTCCCCAATATGAGAGGGTGCTCACTGCTGATATTGTCGATGGCATGGTGCATGGTTTTGATCCAGTGGTTATTGGTTCACTTGGAGGTGACCTGCCTCATGGTATAATGTCTAGAGATTGCTTGTATGCGTTTGAGGGAGATACCATGTCTACTGCAATTGTAGGAAATGATAACGGACCTTCTTTTGGGCATGACAACTTTGGCAAAGATAATCATCATATTCTTGGGGACAAATCTGGTTCCCTTGTGAATAGCTCGCAGGTTCCAGTCATGGGTCATTCACAAACGATGCCAATGAGTGGTATAATTGGTAACCACTCCACTGGTCCAAGTCCATTTTCGACTTTTAATTCTATGGAAGGGATGTCAGAGGGAGTTGGCTCTGGAATTGGTGAAAGCCCTAGCTTCAAATTGCAAGTTTTAGACCGTTTCTTTCACTCCTCTCCAGAGCCCAGCATGCCTGCTTGGAAACCAGTTGGGGTACTCTCCAAACCAGATATGCCTGATAGGATGAACCAGGAGAGCCATGAGGAGACTGAAAGCTCCTTACCCAGGCTCGCCAACAATTGTGGTAAGATAGATTCACTCAATTGCATTAAGATAGGGTCTCCAAAACATGTTGCTCTTGTCACGGTCCCAAAACTCGAAGAGAAATCTTCTGATGAAGGGACCAATAGTTTGGTTTCTTTGTCAGAGGGTGAGTTTGGGGAATTGTCTAATTCTCTCTTGGACTTTGTGGATGAAGGGGATAATCTCCAAATGGGTATTGGCAAAAAAGATTCTACAAACATGGCTGGCACTGATAATTTGTGCTCCATTTTGTTGGGTTCTACCAATGATCTCCATCAAGGGGATGTGTCAAAATCAGGAGATCCTAGACCGTCGGCCCTCCAAACTTGTGATGCTACTGCTTCACCATCCTCCCAAATGGCCCATAAGTCTGGGTTTTTGCAAGATGATATGATCTGCTCTTTGAATAGACAAGATCCTGATGTCCCTGACAATGATGATATTTTCCCATCTTGCCAAATGGAATCTACACCTTCGTCATCTCTAAAGGACATCTACTCTGAACGTATGGGAAACTTAGTCCCGTTTCAAGCTCAGGGTAGCTACACCGTTCCAAAAACTAGTGAACCTAAACAAGTCAAAGTCAAGGAAGAGCCTGAAACTTCGATGCAGCCCATTGATGCTGCCCAAAATAGGGTTTCGTCTGGTTTGCTAGGTGCTTATCCGGAGGGCCATGTTCATGATCAGGGTATTAAGAAAGAGATGCCCGAGCATGATGAATTTCGAATTTCATCATCCAAGCGTGCATGCATCAGAGCGGCAGATCCAGATCCATGTATACCTGGCTCTATAGATCCCATGAGTATCCCCAATTTTAATCCACAAGAAGGGCCGTCTTGTATGGATATGCCATCTCAACGACTTGCTTCTTCTAAAAGCTGTTCCTCAAAGATTCTTACTAATGTCAAATTAGAAACAGATTTGCCCCCAAATATACTGCACAACCATACAATGCAATCACCACATGCAGACCATGGTTGTGATGAACATGCTGTGAGAGACTTTCAAGCTGTAGGCTTTGCAGAACCAGTTGCAAACATTTCAATTTCTGATGAAGAGGACAAACTGTCTGACAGTGAGAATGACGTGCCTTCCTTTTCTGATGTTGAGGCCATGGTGAGTTGCAGTCACTTATGCCTCTATTTGTCTTACGTTATGGGCCAGGTTATGGACATTACTGGGGTTCTTCAATTCGTAATTATGCAACCTACTACTGTTAAGAGTATTGATGGTCATTCGTGCGCTCCTTTTCTGCAGATAATGGACATGGATCTGGTTTCAGAAGATCATGAAACATTTTTTGCAAGCAATGGTGAGTTTATCTTGTTGAACTCCAGGGAATCCTAAGTTGCAATTATTTCTGTATTAATCATTTTTAATTATTTGGGTATTTTATTTATATATTATTGAAACTGATTTAATAGAAATCAATGAGTGCAAGTTAATTACACGAGCCTTAGGGGTCATACCTTCATGCAATCCCTATTCGAATCTGTCTTGGCTAAGTTATCTGGCTGCCTTCCCATTGGACTCTCTCATTCATCATCATTATCATCATTATAGCCTTTTCTTAATTAATTGGGGTCGGCTACACGAATCCTGGTCTGCCATTCTGCTCTATTTAAGGCCATACCTTCAGTGAGACCATAAGTCCCCATATCTTTTCAGACTACTTCCAACCACATCCTTTTGGGCCTCTGGTACATCGTATTGCTTATGGGGAACGCCCTAGCATAAGCAGATATGGTATGTTTAGGGTTCATGATAAATTTGGAAAATTTTTGTGTTGGTTGCATATCGGCACAACCCAGCCCCTATACTTAGGCATAGATTCTCTCATTGCATCTCATAATTAACAAGTAAAAAGTTGTCAGAATACATACATCTACCAAGTCAATAGGTACACAAAAGCATTTTATAGTAATTCCTTATGTGTTTTTTAATACCATGCCAATCCTTGTGGGACCCAGATCCCCTTTGGTGGCGCCATCAAAGTTTTATCTTGATTACACAATTGAACAATCATTTCCAATCAATTTATGCTCGAGGTATGGACTTGGATTTGTCATTGCCTTAATGCAGTCTGAGCATCTACCAGATGTCCATCTTTAACAAATCTTAGTTTGTGATATGAAATGCCATTGTAGTTGGAACATAATGATACAGATGGCCAATGATTTATTACTTATTTCTCAGAGTTTAGCTGGATGTAGTAGGGGCTGGTTTGAGTTGCTCCATTGGCTGGGTTTTGATGTTGGACCAAGATTCCCACACTAGAAAGCAGACGTAGGATTTAGCAGATTAGGGTTTGTGAGAGCTAGGGTCAGGGTTTAATGGCGATGGGTGTTTGATGGAATTCTAGGTTATGATAGAAGAGTTGGTACTGTCATGGTTTATGACAGATTAAGCTTTAGGATGAATTAGGTTAGCAAGATGGTTCTTAGGTGTAGTTAGGGCTAGGATTGGTGATGTTCATATATGGGGCGGATTATTTGGAGGAGGCTACTGTTTCCGAGGATGGAGATGATGTCGCGGGTTTGGGATCTTTTGGTGTTAACTTAGGATTCAGTGATGATATGGAAGTTTGTATGGTGCTAGCATGGGTGGTTTTGGATAGATTATCGTGTGTTGAAGATGATTGATAGGGTTTTAGTGTTGATGGATGAGGTGTGGATGCTTGGAGAGAAGAGATGGTTTGTTGGCATGGAAGAGAATACAGATTGAAAGGGGTATTGATGTTATATAAATCATTGGCATACAAGAATTAGGTCTTGTGGAATTGGCACCTCGAGAAGGATATGAACACCACCTTAGATGGAATGAATACCACTCAAACTATTTCTTTCGCCAAAGCAAGTCCGACCATACAACTGTCAAGTGTATAGATAA